GAAAACTTTGAAGGAGGATATTGTTCAGACAACTTGATTTGGAAAAAAGATAAGTTTGGACCAAATATAAGTGAAATGTATACCAAAGAGTCTTCTTGTTTTCCAGAAAAATAAATATTTTAGGTTCGAATGCAAAGGTTTGTTGTTTCTTTTTGTTTTTTACTAACCAAAGTGAACAGATATCATTTCTGATTATCTTTTATCCTGCATTATACTTTTGATGCATTTTTTTTAGAAATCTCTTAAAGTAAAAAGTTCATAATTCCATGGTATATGTTCATATCCTTCCTCCCATTTACTAAATTATTTAGCCTATAATATAACTTGAAAATGTGTTTTTGAACTCTAAAGTTATAGAAATGTGATTGATATTGAGTTTGCAGAAAAAATCCATTTTAAAGAGAGAACACATGCAACAAACACATACACACACAATAGAACAGAGACTCCAGTTATATATGGTTTAAATTCTTTCTTATCAGTTCAAAATCAGAAAGGGCAGATGTCTTACTTTAATTCCAGCAACTCAAATGAGCAAGGAAAATTTGGTTATAATTCGCATGAGCTAATTTGTTAAGGGTTTGTTGGAGCACCTGCCAGCTTGCCACAGCTCTTTTCTCCTGTAAGATTTTTTTTCAGGGTTGGTGATAGTGAGACAAAGGATTAAATGTGAAATTTCAACCTTGACTTAGGGGAGAAGAGAAAGGATTCATTTCTATGCCACTAAATGCTACATTAAACTTCTAATCAAAAGTGAAAATCCAGGACCTACTTTTGACTGTGATTTGCAGATTTTGAGAAATTTCTGTGGTTAATTAAAAGGAAGTCTGCTCTATGGTGTCATATCATCAGGGCTAGGGATTCACTTGACCTAAACTTCTCTACTGTCAAGTTTACAATCTGGATTGAAGAAGTTTGAGAAGGAGGTGCTTCCAAGTTGCTGAGGAAGAAATTTAGCTTTTTGTCAAGAATTAATAGGGGCTCCATCAAGGAGTTAGGTATCTTGAAACTGTTACACTTAAGGTTGGGGGCTGTATCATCAGGCTCATGAAAATCATTCAAATTTTTCTGCTGCACAGTCTATTGCAGATCCCTTCCAGGCTTCCCTTGGCTGATTATATTTTCAGATCTAAGCTGAATGTGTACATATTTTTCTCCTCAGTAGGCCACTGTTTTAGCAATTCGTAAAATAATTGTTTATTAAAGAAAGATACATATCTGTTTGTGGTATCACCAGAATCACTTGCGACCTCATAGGTATGTTAATTAGAGCTTTTATATCCACAAGTATGAGTGTTACATAGGCCTCTTCCCAAAGTCTAGATAATTGTCCTTACTATGCGTATGTAGGTTTCATATTAAATACCAATCCTTGGTCACAGTAGCAATAGCTGACAGTAGGTATGATGGTGTGGATTCTTTGTCTGCTCTTGGAAAAACAAAGTATGCGCTCTTCAGGCTAACAGAATCGTCTTCAAAATTCCTGCATATTCTCCCTGCATAGTTGTTTGTTGATGAGACAGTACAACAGAGCCCAGGCAAGGACAGTGGATGCAGATCTGAGTCAAAGGATAAGTATGCGTGGATTCTTCTTCAGCAATGAAAGAACCTCGTAGAAATGAGAATAAGGTTGTTATACCATTTCATATAAGGAGCATATTTTTAAAAATGTTTTAAAGAAGAGTTATACAACTTTTAAAATATGTATATTATATCAGTCATATTGAACACAAATATCTTATTTTTTTCCCATTCCCCTGTTGCTACTCTACTTTCATATATCAGTCTGTCTTCAAAAATATATATTTTACAAAAGTACAGGATTCTTTTTTCTTTGACTCAACACTGTATGATACACCAGCTAGGACTAATAAATGTTCAACAGTGATTCATTAAATTGACCCAGTATGCTTTACATTGTTTTTCGCTCATCCCATTATATTTCTACAAAATTGGTTTTGTGTCATAGCTTTTGCAATCAGTATTTTATCAGCTGTGCATAGTTGAGAATGTTTGCAAAGAACATTGTGTAACCTGTCAGTTCTGAGAAGAGTTTCTGACAAATGCTTTTCTGTTACTCAAAAGCAAATGAATGCTTGGCAAATGGCAGCTTTATCTTATTTCCTCAGGGCAACATGGAAAAACTGAGCACAAAATACTTTCCAGTAGCAATGAGATCTTACCTGATTAAAGCTATACATCTCTGTAAAGAACAGTTCTGCTTCCTATGTGATCTAGAGTAAATTAAATTCGCTTATATTGATGAGATGATGGTCACTCATTTATTCATTTGGGGTAACTTAACAATAAAAGTTTTAACTATTTTTAACATTTTCAAAGAAAGTTTGCTTATTGGTTGGCTTGCTTATTCTCTTTCATTTTTATGCTGGTTTTTTTTTTGTGTGTGTGGATTTTTCAAAAGAAATTTCACAAACCACATCATGATCATGTTACCAGGAGAAAAAGGATTAAAAATAAGTAAATGAAAGCTTACCCACGATTCTATCACTTTCCAAAATTTCTTCTTAGTTTTCTTTGCTTTATTCCAGATCCCCTCTCTTAAATGTGCAATGGTTATGGAATTTGTGTCTTTCATAGAAAGTTGAGGTTAATCAAGCACTTTATCAAGAGAGTGTTTTATTTAGTTAAATGACAAACAGGTAGGTGTGCCTCATTTTGTATATCAGTTGTTTCCTAAAGTTGTACGTGATAGGTCCCATTTTCACATGATCTTAAATCATTACCGAAATTCAGTGGGTCTTCATTTCTCCCTAAATCTTGATCTTTGCACTCCTCCATTTGTATAAAAACACTGAAATGTTCGGGAGCGTCAGCATTTAGTAAATACCCTCAACTCTCATCCCCCGCCCCCACCTCAGTTGAGCTTTGTCTATCCTCGACTTTTCATTTCTTTATTCTTTTTTAAACAGAACACTTTCCTACCTTACTTTCCAGAAGTGTTGTAAGAGAAATAGCTAGTTAAGGGTTAGTTAGGAGTAAAAATGGGTGCGCATTTGATTTATAGAAGTAATGATAGGTTTTGACTTTGTAAGCCAGAAAACTGGCAAAATTGGAGATATCCTCTGTATTTTCAAATTTTTCAACAAGTGTTCATGGAGTGCCTTTTTTTTCTGTCAGATGGTGTGGAAGATACTGATGTGTAAAAACTTTGTTACAGTCAGGAACTTGTCACTCATTTTCATTTATCTTTAGGATTTTTCTCTGTGTTCTTTGAGCTGCTTTCAGTATCAAAGATTTGTATTCCCATCACATCTATCCATATAAGAAAAGTAGAGAGAGCTTTGCAGAAAAGGAGGAGTCATTGTGACCACCGGGGCAGAAGCGATACGACCAAAACCAAGGAACTTCTGGAGCCACCAGAAGCTGGAAGGGGCAAGAAACAGATGTTCACTAGAGTCTTCAGAGTGAGAGTGTAGGCCTGCCAATGTCCTTTTACAGGCCGACAAAGTGCTTTCTGAAATTTTTTAAACTTCATTGTTATAAATCTCTTTCTACATCAATAAATGGAGCATATAAGAAATAAAAGGATTTGCATTCATATTGATGTGTAAATGTTCAATGAGTGAGCTTTATCTACTAGGTATATATAGTGCGAAACTGGATTATATCCTAGAACTGTATTTCTTATGAGCAAATAAGTCACGTAGATTCACTATAGAAAATGTATTTTATTTGTTATGTTTCAATAAAATAATTTTTAATAATTGGGTTTTTTTTTTTTTAACAGATTAAGGTTGAGAAAATTTTAAGGGTTTATTTTGCAGGATAAGAATCCTCTAAATTCATCGAAGAAGTTTCCAAGTTGTGGAATATATATACTGTTCTATTCCCTTTTCCTCAGTTATTTCCTAATCTGCTGAGTTCATGTCTGTGTAGACAAGGACATGTAGGGCTTTCTAATTTTTATACTTTTTTTGCACATAAATTGTATATATTCATTGGAGATAAATTAGAAATACATGTTAGCAACGTAATACACATTATATGAAATACATAGAAGTAAAAATTAGCCCACCACCCAAAAATCAGTACTGTTAATATTTTGGTATATTTTGTTGCAGATTTTTTACTGTAATATGTGTATATATTTTTTCTTACTAATATCCAGACTTTGTTTTATAACCTGATAGTTTTTTTCAGTATTAGGTTATTTGGGCCTGTCTGGAGTGAAACTTTCTGTCTCATTTTATTCATTTAATTTAAAAAGAACACAATACTTGGCATGGACTTTGGGTTTATTTATTTATTTAGAAATCTCAGTAACTATAAATAAGCATGTGTATTTTACTACAAATTTATACTTAAAACATAGTAGAAGAGCAGTTTTAGTTATAAAAATCTAAGCATGGTTTTGGGGGAATTTTTTTCTAAAAGGTTCAAATGGCTCCATGAGAAAATGAAACAAATGAAATCAGAGAAGCTCACACATATTTGATAAAGCTGTAGAATACATTATGATGGCATATTTACATGCTTTTAAAATAACTGGACTGCAGGTGCCCTAAGCTAGAGACCATATCTGTGTATCACACTATTCTAGTCATATTCTAGGCACAATTCCTGGCATGTAATAATGCCTAAAAAAAAAAAAAAAAAAAAGAATGAAGAAAGAGAACCAAAAAGATGAGGTAATTCACCCCCTTGTTTGTAGGGAAGACAAATAGCTATCTTTTGGGATATATGTTTATCAGCATAGCTTTAAAAATTGTAGCAAGACAAAAGAACAAAAATGGTAAATCTTTTTAATCACCCAGGGCTCCTATTCTTTTGCGCCCCAAATAAGCCATGGTTGCAGTCTCTTATAAAAGGGCATGTGTGAGTAAGAAATGCACCGCTTTGGTTTATTAAGCCCCATTTACGATTGCTCTAGGCCACACCTGTAGCAAGTGAAAAAAAAAAGAAAAATCCAGGCGCCATAAAAATCCAGTGCTGAGAAGCCGGACAGCTGATTGGAGGGATAATGATTCCAGATCAGCTTCTAACCTGTCCCTTCTTTCTCTTCATCAGGTTGACCTCTTCAAAATGATTCCCTGTAGAGCAGTTCTGTCTTTTGCCCGATGTTTGATCCGGAGAAAAATCGTCATTCTGGACAGTCTTGAAGACTCCAAATTAAGCCGTTGCTTATCCACCGTGGACCTCATTGCTCTGGGCGTTGGAAGCACTCTTGGTGCTGGGGTTTACGTCCTCGCTGGGGAGGTCGCCAAAGCTGATTCTGGCCCCAGTATTGTCCTTTCTTTTCTCATTGCTGCCCTCGCTTCCGTGATGGCAGGCCTTTGCTATGCTGAATTTGGTGCCCGAGTTCCCAAGACTGGGTCGGCGTATTTGTACACTTATGTTACTGTTGGAGAGCTCTGGGCCTTCATCACTGGCTGGAATCTCATTTTATCTTATGTGATAGGTAGGTTTCCAAAAACTAATCTTATCACGTGGAATGGTGGAAACAGTACCCCTGAGTCGGAGGCCTTAGGGTTTCGTTGTAGGTCTGCATTAGTGAGCGACTATGTGATCTTGAGTGAATCACTTGATCCCTGGGTATCTCTTTTTTCTCATCTAAAACTGCAAAATCGGGTGATTCTGCTTTATTTCTGAATATGCCTCTTAGTGGATTTGAAAACCTGTTTGTTTTAAAAAGAATATATAGTTCTCTAATGCAAAGAAAGTTACCTGATTCTAGTTATGGACTTGAACATTTGATTACTATTGTATAATTATAAAATTATCAAGATAATTTTATACGTGGTTAAAATTTTCAAATCTGTCTGAACTAGCTCATGTTTATCCTAGAATAGAATAGCAATTAATGTTATGTTAATTTTCTCCCAGTGACCTTGTATTCACTGCATGTTCTGTGTTTGGGGAAGGTACGTCAAGTGTTGCAAGAGCGTGGAGTGGCACTTTTGATGAACTTCTTAACAAACAGATTGGTCAGTTTTTCAGGACGTACTTCAATATAAATTATACTGGCCTTGCAGAGTATCCTGACTTTTTTGCTGTGTGCCTTATATTACTTCTAGCAGGTAAGAACACTAATTACGCTTCTCCCTATGATAAGCCAGAATTTGGGGCCCAAGTTCCCAAGACTAGGCAACATACGTATACACTTAGGTTATTATTGGAGATCTGTGAGCCTCGCCACTGGCTAGAATCACATTTTATCTTATGCAATATGTTTCAAAAATAAATCTAAATCATGTAGAGTAGTAGGAATAGCCCTTCTAGGTTAATGGCACCTGGAATGCACTAAATACTAGGATGAGGCACATGAATTTTATAATACTAATTGGAGATTTATGGGAATGGCAATGAAGTTTAAATGGGGAACAATGCGTAATTTTTGACACTATTTCATCTTGTTAGATACAACTATGGATATTTGTAAGCATACTAATTCTAGAAGAAATACTGTCTTTCTATTTATACCTTTATCTATATAATGTAAGCACCTGGTTTTAGGAAACATTCAAACCACCTGTTATTTTTTAATGTAGACATTATGTAGACAAACATACTTTATACCAGGATTTTTCCATTTTCATCAGTATTTGAGGCATAGTGGTTTAGAAGGCACAGGAATTAGAGTCAGAGTAATCAATCAGGTTTTTAATCCTACTCTGCCATTTACTATCTTTGGAACACTGAGTGACTTAATTTTTCCATGACTCAGTTTGCTCATCAATGGATATCAATGTCTGTCTTTGCTGGGCTTCTTGCTGAGTACCGACTAAGCACTTAGATAACAGGCAATTTTATTCTGTAGATACAGTTAATACCCTGCTGTTTCCTTATATTTGATTTTCACTATTTGAACATTTTCTATTTTGTTTGTCATTTCTACTTGCACTCCTATTAAAATCCATCAAGGATTGCACTAAGAATAAAATCTGTTTGTTTACACTTCTTACTACCCCTTGCTTTCCTTTCCAACCTTATCTTTAGCTACATTCTCTCTTGATTACGAAATGTGATCAAAACATCTTTCTATAATGAATGCTTACTTGTATAATTACATAATTTTTAAAATAGCTTTACCCTTTAAAAAGTTGGGTGTTAGTTAACTGTTTTATATAGTGATAGGGTTAGGGATATGAACAAAATTTATGGATCTAAAATATTTGGCATTTTGCTTCTAATATCAAGAAAAATCTCATCAATTGTTTTTTAACAGGTGATAGATTTTGTTTTGATTTCTAAACAGCCTAGCTAACCTTAAATTAGTTCCTTCATATTTTATTTAGGGATGGTTTCAATGAACTTAAATATTCAGTTTTAATCTCTAAACAATGAGTTAAAATCATTAACTTCCATGGCAAGACTGAGGCCTTAGCCTGCCTGCATCATTTGTCTTGTGTTCATTGACCATCATGTCTTTACTTTAAATAGGCTAAGCTTACATGGTAATTTTGTTATTAGAATCTTTCAAGACCAAAACATCCTAGTATAAATCTTTATTCATATTGTAATACCAAATATCTTGGCAGCTGAAGCTGTTGTTTCTTAAAGATACAAGAGAAGAATATGTAGTCTTTACATGAGATGTTCATCAGTCTCTAATCTACTGGCTGGAAATGGAGATGTCAGACTAGAGAGTGCACATGAGGTATTATGAAACTTTTATAGAACATGACAGCAGCTTTGTTATTTTCCAGAGTGTATCGTGGTATAGCGTATAGTGCATATTTCCTGGGCATGTAGTGGCTCCTAACCTGATGGATAGTTACAGACAGTCAGTAGTTGTAGTGACTATACAGTTTTCTTTTATATTGTTAATATAGTTATAGTACTGGACATTCTGGAAATTATAGAGATAAAAGAATGATATTCAGCCTCTCTCATCTCTGCTTGGATAGTTGTGCTTATTTGATCATGGGTGTGTAGATATAGGGAGGAAACAAATAAACATGTGACTTAATCCTTTCATCACAATCATTTCCCTAATAGTAAAAAATAATTTCTTTGGTCCACAATTCATATCTTATACAAGATGAATTAAAGATATAAATATGACAAATGTAATCATAAAAGTACTAAAAGGAAATAAAGATGAACATTTTGGGGTTAATATTTCTAAAGAGAAAATCTTTCTAAAGGTAGAAACTAAAAAGGAAAAATTTAAATTCTGAAATTTTTTCATATGTATAATCAACATTAATATTAAAAGCAAATAATATACTGGGAAAAACAGGCAATATGTGATAGGCAGAGAGCTTATAGCATTATTATATAAATAAATTTTATAAATCAATATGAACAAGAATAGCCTAACAGAAAGAATGGTCAATTTAAATTGGGGCAAACTTCATAGCAAATATTTTGACAGCATGAGCCAAAAGCCTTGTATAAAAGTACATATTCTTGATACAGTATTACCTTATAGAAAATTATTGTAAAGAAATAATTAGAAAGTGTACAAAAATATTTATAAAAATGATTATGTCAGTACTGTTTTTAGTTGTAAGAAACTAAGAGTGACCTGATTGTCTATAAATAAGGGATTATAGTGTCTCCATATAGAGGAAGAATATGTGGCTGTTAAAAATTGTTGTATATTTGTTGACATGGAAATATTTGTGTGTACATGGATTTTGTGTATGTGCAGAATTCTGGAGAGGAGATTACACTTGCTCTTTATTTCATTCACATTTTTCTGTATCTTTATATTACTTGAATAGGAAATTGATTACTTTTCCAATCAGAATATAAAACTATTAACATGAGAATTGATTTAATAAAATATCTTTGGGGCATGACAGTTGAATTATTTTGTTTCTGTATTTCATGAACATGATGCAGACATATGATCGAGCTTTTACTTTAAAAATTTTGCAGCTACTAACCTTGAAATGTGTTTAGAACAGCATTTCATTAAAATTAAGTTACTTCACCTCTACCACCTGTTGATAATAATAGTCAAAGTTACTAGATTTATTTATTTCTTGGAGAGTGTGGTATCCTCTGGGTTTGAGCACAATCTGCCTTCTGATATCAAGTTGGTTGTATTCAGAAGACATCATTTCACAGTTGCGCAAATGAGTAAGAACTCGCGATAGAAAGGGATATTTGTGAGTTAAATATATGAATCCTGGTGAAATAATATCCTAAAGCTTGTGACTGCCTCAAAATGTTATTACTTTTTGTTTTCTCATAGGTCTTTTATCTTTTGGAGTAAAAGAGTCTGCTTGGGTGAATAAAGTCTTCACAGCTGTTAATATCCTGGTCCTTCTCTTTGTTATGATTGCTGGGTTTGTGAAAGGAAATGTGGCAAACTGGAAGATTAGTGAAGACTTTCTCAAAAATATATCAGCAAGTGCCAGGTAAAATATTTGGGTTTTTTCCTCTCTCAGTCTGAGTTTTGTTTTGTTTTTGTTTTTGTTTTTTTTCCATTTGCTGCTTTTGTCTTATGTTACATTTTTCTCTGAAACAATGGTTCTGAAATGTTTGCTTCAGAGACTTTTCTGAAGGTCTATTCCATTCTGAGGCTCTCCTTCCCTGGCAGCACCCAGACATAAATAGGTATGTTTGCTATTGAGCATCTATTTGAAGCCTTGTAGCTGCCAGTTCTCAACCTCGATCTCTGCTCTAGGTTTAGGGGAAGGAAGAGGGAGATTCTAACCATCATAAGAATACTTTTTTCTCCCTAAGGTTTGCGACCTCTAAATAACAATGAGTATTTTGAGTTAATGTATCCTTCAGTTCTTCCTTTGGGATGACCATTTGGTTTCATTGCATTTTTTCAGCCTTGTAGTAAATTTCAGGCCTTGTTTTTTGGAGGATATTATTAGTTACATAAGCAGACTTGCCCATGCATTTCACTTTAAACCTGATCATCTCAAAATTAAATTAATAATAATTATATAGAAAAGGTTTCATCTTAAGATTTAAGTGTGATATCTTGTGTGTATATGGAATAAGAATACAAAAATATCTGGAGTAGGGTATGTCTACATGTTTTTCTTTACCTGAGTTGTTGGCTGTTATTCTGATGAGGCAAAAAATTAGTATCTTCTGGTGTTATATAATTTTTAACATGTAGTAAAGTATTCAACTTTAGTATTATTAATCATACCTAGATACTTTTATTTCATCTTTTCAAATGTCTTTACGTAAGTTTTTAAATGTGCAGTCTGCCCAACTGTCCACGAGAAGAAGGTTTCTTGTCTTTATTTCAGATCATGGCCTCAAAATCCTGCCTGGCTGTGAGTTCTAGCCAGAGTGGGTCTGGACCTCCTGCTTATGCTGTCAGTCAGCCTCTAAGATCAGAGTCGGTAACCAGAGAGGGCGCCATTGTTGGGGATACCACTGCATTCTCTAGGATGGGCTCAGAGAATCAGGGTTTACTTTTAGTTCTGAATCCGTCAGCTTCAAAGAGCTGATGAACACAACAGCCTTCTGAGGATGTAGTTTCAGACAAATTACCAGAAGCAGCAGTTTTCTATGAAAATGACTTTCTGACATTTGTTCTCTTCCATAGAGAGCCGCCCTCTGAAAATGGAACAAGTATCTATGGGGCTGGCGGCTTCATGCCTTATGGCTTTGCAGGAACTTTGGCTGGGGCTGCAACCTGCTTTTATGCCTTTGTGGGATTTGACTGCATTGCAACGACTGGTAAGAGCAGAGTCTTGGCTCTCAGGAGAAGGAAAAGGTGCTCTTTGTACCCACAGGAGTACTCATTGGGTGGCAACAGAGGTCAAGGAAAGGGAATGGGCTTTGGAGCTGGTTCCAGCCCCAGCTGTGACACCTGCTGCACATGATAAAAAGAAATGTAATGAAACTCTCTGAACCTTGGTTTCCATATTAGTAAAATTGGGAGAGCAGTACCTACCCCTCAAATGTATAAAGGCTACCGAAAAGATTTTATATATATAT